CCATAAATCATTATGGGTTCGGAAGGATTTTCAAAAAATTCAGTATGAAATACAACGGGTCCTCCAGAATCAACAGTACTCGAGAACCTCCTAGAGAGAACTCTTTGATTTCCATATTGGCTATTGATTGGAATCTTCCCGTGGGTTTTGTTCCCAGCTTAAAAAAGAAAATTTCTATGGAATGTCACGGGAGATAAGATCAAAAAAATCAGTGGTTGCGGAAGGAATGCAGAACGATGACAACAGCTCAGACAAGTGTACGATATTGGGAGACATCGAACAGTCTCAGCTCCACGACAAAGGTCGGTCTTCAACCAATTCTTCCGTTTCCACCCGCATTGAACCATCTTATGTTAGTCGTATGCATTTTGTTGAATTTCGGTTGCCTGAGAGTTCGCATGTAGAGTTTGTTGCCAACCAGTTGCCAGTTCGGCTCATGGTTTTGCGCTTAAGACAACTGACGCTATGAACTATTCCACTAGTACCAACAATGTAGTTGGTAAATTTGAGACAGAATTAGAATGGAAAAAAGAGGAACTTCTGCTGGAGGAGGAGGAATTCTGGTTGCGTAAAAAACGCATGGAATTCGAGCGACGATTCGAAAGTGTCGGTGCAGACGAAGTTGACGCACGAGGTGTACAGTTGGAATCTCCTTACAAACCCCAGGCTAATTTGATGCCTTCAGCGGGTGACGTGGTTCAGGTTATTGAGTCCTCTCTTAAATCGCTTATCATGGGAATTAGCCTACCTAAGATTGAGGTAAACTATTTTGATGGCTCACCTCAGCACTATCACAAGTTTGTGCGCAATGTTGAAGGCAGCGTTGCTGATCGAATTGCAGACGACAATCAGAAATTGTCTTATTTATTGTACTATTGTAGAGGCAAGGCAAGAGAAGCAATAGAACATTGTTCGCTGTTGCCCAAAGGTGATGGATACCATGAGGCCTTACGCATTTTACGGCATCAGTTTGGCCGTCCACATGACGTTATTCGAGCGGTAAGCCAGGCAGTATTTGTTGGTCCTAGAATAAGCTCGGGTGATGTCGAAAGCCTAAGCAGTCTCGCTAGATGGATGAGATCGTGTGAGGTCACAATGACACCATTAGGGAACGCAGCAGAGCTCAACTCCCCTAACGACCTCGTCCGTATGACAGACAGATTACCCAGAACCCTCCAGGAAAAGTGAGCTGAGGTTGCGAACGGCATCATTGATTCTGGTAGAGAGCCATCCTTTAGTGATTTACGTGGCTTTATTGAACGAAGGGTTAACGTNCCCAAAGGTGATGGATACCATGAGGCCTTACGCATTTTACGGCATCAGTTTGGCCGTCCACATGACGTTATTCGAAC